TTGCATCCCTAGATGGATTCCTAGATCGGTGGATCCCTAGATCGGTGGATCCCTAGATCCTTGCATCCCTAGATCCGTGGATTCCTAGATCGGTGGATCCCTAGATCGGTGGATCCCTAGATCCTTGCATCCCTAGATCCGTGGATTCCTAGATCGGTGGATCCCTAGATCGGTGGATCCCTAGATCCTTGCATCCCTAGATCCGTGGATTCCTAGATCGGTGGATCCCTAGATCGGTGGATCCCTAGATCCTTGCATCCCTAGATCCGTGGATTCCTAGATCGGTGGATCCCTAGATCGGTGGATCCCTAGATCCTTGCATCCCTAGATCCGTGGATTCCTAGATCGGTGGATCCCTAGATCGGTGGATCCCTAGATCCTTGCATCCCTAGATCCGTGGATTCCTAGATCGGTAGATCTCTATATCCTTGCATCCCTAGATCCTTGCATCCCTAGATCCTTGCATCCCTAGATCCTTGAAGTTATCCAGTTATAATATCGTAAGATGACTTCAATAAACTTGACAATACTAAGAGTTGACAAAAGTTAGATATGGATCGTTTATTTTGAAAGTGGTGTAAGTCCATTTTCGTTTATTTTGAGAAAATTAAATGTTAACATGTATGTCAATGAAAAAATATAGGTTAATTATATCAAGACTGACAATTCAGCAATTTTTTACTAATTGATCAATATATAATTTGATTATACGAATTTCTTTTAGGTGATTTAACTAAAACAATGTATATTCATGCAAATGGACTTACATCACTTCCAAAATAAACGGTCCATATATTTGTCTCTACATTTACTATTCAGTCTTTTCAGGCATTTTTACATCAGTAATATTGATACCTCAGTTATCATAATACCGTCGATAAACTTCACAATACTAAAAAACGACAAAAGTTTGCCATGTCTAACATTTACCATTCGACACATCAGTTATAATATCCTAAGAACTACAGATCTACAGTAAAATGTGACTTACACTTTGATCTACGCACAGCTCATTATCCGATCGCTAAAATATCGCACACGCAGACTCGTATGGTCTGTACCTATAATAGCCCGGCCAGTTTTGCCCCCACCTGCAAACTGGTCCCTGCCTGTTCGACGGATTGCACAAGCATTTGATTCTCCATTCTGCAGCCTACCGAGTCAGTTCACGGTGGAAACGCGACCAGAACTGTCCTGTCGTGTTTCCTGGTTTTAACTCGAATTTCAGTCGCGCCCTTTCGAAGGACGTCTTTCGGAAGTTGTGCTCGGTGATAGAGGGTTAATGAGTCCTTGATGACCTGCGGGTGAAAGTATTACGTGCTGACGGTTAGATTGTTAAGACTATGGTGAAAGATCGATATGAACGTGTTTTTGGTGAATCAAACCGAACACTGATTCAGTAACTGGTGGTCGACTGGTGGATTTTTTTATTGAAAAGGCAGATTGCTGAGGGAGCTGGAAGTTGCAGGTTAGGACTTATGGAAGTTATGGAGATCTTTGTTTTGGTGATTGGGCTTTGGTGAATTATATACGCTTGGGTGAATTATATGCACTTTGGTGAAGTTAGGTCTTGAAGTTAAGTCTTTAAGTACATAGTTGAGGATTTAAATTATGGAGATCCTTTGGATGTTTTGGTGATTGGACTTTGGTGAATGATGGCGTTTGGTGAATTACGTCTTGAAGTTAAGTCTTCAAGTACGTAGTTGAGGATTTAAGTTATGGAGATCCTTTGGATGTTTTGGTGATTGGGCTTTGGTGAATTATATGCGCTTGGGTGAATTATATGTACTTTGGTGAAGTCACCTTTTGAAGTTAAATCTTCAAGTACGTAGTTGAGGATTTAAACTATGGAGATCTTAGAATGTTTTGGTGATTGGGCTTTGGTGAATGATATGCACTTTGGTGAAGTCACCTCTTGAAGTTAAGTCTTCAAGTACGTAGTTGAGGATTTAAATTATGGAGATCTTTGTTTTGGTGATTGGGCTTTGGTGAATGATATGCACTTCGGTGAAGTTACTTCTTAAAGTTAAATCTTCAAGTACGTAGTTGAAGATTTAAACTATGAAGACCTTTAGATGTTTTGGTGATTGGGCTTTGGTGAATTATATGCATTTTAGTGAAGTCGCCTCTTGAAGTTAAATCTTCAAATTCGTAGTTGAGGATTTAAATTAAGGAGATCTTTGTTTTGGTGATTGGGCTTTGGTGAATGATATGCATTTTAGCGAAGTTACGTCTCGAAGATCTTCAACGGGGTACTTAAAGATTTATTTCTTTATTTAAGAAGCTTTAGATTGAAAGAACTTTTCCGTTTGTGAATAATTAAACAATTGCAAGATTTTCGAAAACACTTTATTGGACTTCGGAAGGCGATAAAAATTTCGCCTTATTTTTCAAGTTTCACAAATTTGCAAAATACCTTCCTTACTTAAGGAAATAGAAGACTATCATAAACACTATAATTGAAGTTTTTCCATTAATTATCCGTCGTGAATGGTAATACGAATTTATTTATTTTTTGCCTTCATTGCCGTTGTAAATAAACACGTGAAAAAGAAAGAAAGAAAAATATTGACGCAAAACGTTTTTCCGCAAAAAAAAACGCAGACTCTTGCAACAGTTTTTTATATTCACGTAACGTTGTTTTATAAAAACAGTAAAATGCAAATTTTTTGAAATTTCGAGTCGTATGTTTGGCTTGAAAGTATGCTCCGGTTTAAACACGTAGACTAGATCATTATGTAATTTCTTTCTAGTCGATCGGTGAGGTAATTTTTGCCATAACACAGATTATTGAAATATATCTAAAATACTCGTACAATAAAAAATACAGCGATACAATTTTTTTATCGTAATTCTTTTAAATGACTAATTTAAATATTTGTACACGGAATAGATTTTTAAACAAATTTGAAATAAATGTTTTTAGTTCGTCATAAAAATCACTCGTTTCAGGAAGAACAAAAACGTCGGTCGTTTGAAATATGTCTAAATACTCGTACAATAAAAAATACAGCGATACAATTTTTTTATCGTAATTCTTTTAAATGACTAATTTAAATATTTGTACACGGAATAGATTTTTAAACAAATTCGAAATAAAAGCTTTTAGCTGTTTATCATAAAAATCACTCGTTTCAGGAAGAACAAAAACGTCGGTCGTTTGAAACTAATCAAGTACTTCAGTGGAAAACTCCAGCTCGCTTATCATTAGTCCTTCATTAGTTAATTCATGAATATTTCCTCATCCAAAAATTATTCAACGAAGAGTTTCATCAGGGATTTTCAAAAGATTACAGCTGGAAAAGAATTCCAAAGCAAATTGTTTGAAACTGCGTATGCAAAACCGAAGGAATAGGAACGATGATCGTGACCTGATTTCCTCGACATCATGATCGTAACATTATAGACTTTTTACGATCATTATCATTCTTACGTCGAAGAGTTCCAAGAACGTTTAAAAGAATTGTTTTTTTAACTAATTTCCTAATAACATCGGTTAATAGGAAATCAATACGAAGGACGAGTATATTTATTCGTACGAGTGACGCGAAAAATAAGTTCCACGTGTTTACGAGACGCGCACGCACAAAAATGCAAATTGATCGAGACGCGTTTCCATTTTTGCTCTTATCGCGTTTAGAAATCTTGCGATTCATTGATTCTGCTTTGTTGATAATTGTTGGAACGTTGGATGAACGGTTAGGGTTTGGAACACTAAACATTCAAGGATTCGAGGATTCTGACGGAATTTGCAGAAATGTATTTTTGTGAACTCTGAAGAGTTCAGAAAGCATTCGTGTTCTGTCACAAAATTAATTCAGCATTGTGTCAAAACAAGGAGCTAAATTTGAAGATTTGAAAGCATCATTCAATTTTTTCTATCTACAGTTTTCCTGACACTTCCACTTTAGCTAATTATTTCAACAACTTCCCTCGGTAAATCTATTACACAATTCACAAAAATATCTTCAATGTCCAGATGTTAATATTTAAATGTTTAAAAGAAAACACTCGAAGAAGGAAGTACATTGCATCGTTTTGTTTCTATTCAGTTTTCTAATCACAATGTTCTACTTTCATCCGAGACAAAAGCTCCCCGAGTGAACCGAAACTTGATAACCCATTTCACTTGATTTCTCTCGATGCCTTTTGTTTCCTAACGGGAGCTCGGTTGCGAAAGATGCGTCTAAAACTAATCACTTTCCATTTCTTCGAACTTTCGTGTGTAGATAAGTTTCAATGAACTTGTGCGCTTCGACGAAGGAAAAAGTATCGACCTGCCTTTGATGTGATCGTGGTATTTCTATTTTTGCAAGCAGCGAGTCATACGTGTCTTTGTCTTTCGATCAAATATTCGATAGCTTGATAATTGAAATGGGAGTTAATTTTCAAAGTTATAAGATAAACACAAGTTTCACATAAGTTTCTGACCTTATAAAAGATTATTATGTACTTGGTGTAAGATTCAAATTTTTATTCAAACCAGAACGTCAAACTTTTATTAATAGTGTCATGTAACTTTTCGAATATCTTTTGAAGACTCGAAAAATTAACTTGGATACTTAAGAATTCAAAAACCCAGGTTAAAAGATATCTAAATTAGTGCGAGAAGTATGAGGTACTTCACATTAATTGAAGAAAAATGAATAGTACAAAATCATCAGACATCTCATTGTTTGTCAGATGCTGAACAAAGTATATTTATCGCACCGTATAAAAAAACTTTTGTTACGTGTGCAAAAGTTACATGATAGTTTGTGTAATAATGATAAATAGCGTACGCAGGTTAACTAGGTTGTAAAAAGTTTGCTCGTAATGTATTCAGATTGTAATCGTTTGCATAAAATCGGCTTGCATGATCGGGACAATAAATTGATAGCTATTAAGATGTGTCCGTTAAAAGATAAGTATAATGAATGATTATGAAAAGAACATGTAAATTAATTCGCCGAATATTTCGTAGAGAAATACTCGATTTCAAAACTGAATGAATGATCGCTTTATCGAAATTGTTACGTAACTCATATTTCGAAATTTATGAATATTTAATCGATAGAAAAATACGTTCAATTGCGTAAGGAAGGTTATTACTCACGCGTGTAAACCTTTCGTTACATGAGCACCGTTTCTCTTTGACCAAAAACGAGGGAAAAAAATTAGAGGCTGGGAACAAAAACGATACTTGTGGCATGGTACAACTGTACTTTACAACTGTACTTTATAACTATACTATACAACTATAATTTACAACTATAATATACAACTATGCTATACAACTACAATATACAATTATGCTATACAACTATAATATACAACTACAATATACAATTATGCTATACAACTATGCTATACAACTATAATTTACAACTATAATATACAACTATGCTATACAACCATAATATACAACTACAATATACAATTATGCTATACAACTATGCTGTACAACTATAATTTACAACTATAATATGCAACTGTGCTATACAACTATGCTATACAACTATAATTTACATCTATAATACACAACTATGCTATACAACTATAATATACAACTACAATATACAACTATGCTATACAACTATAATTTACAACTATAATATACAACTATAATATACAACTATACTATACAATACTATACATTTAAATTTGAAAAAAGAAAGATATTGCTCGCGACGAAAAAATATTTATACCAATTAACATCCTTCGCCTGGCAAACGGACACCGCAGTTGCAAAACGCGTTTGTTTAAATTTCGATGTCTTAAGCAGGTCATTTGTAATAAGTTACACGTCGGTAGTCTTCGTGATTCACGATTCGACGTATCTTAAAAATCTTTCGAGTAAAAAACCGATGATACTGCAAAATTACGCAAACCGCGAGTATTCAAATATACAATCATATTCTTGCTATACTGTCGACTGTAAAAATACGAAGCACCCGACTCGTAAAATAAGTTACTTAAAAAGTATATAAAGCAAGTTCTAAAATTTGTATTACAATGCTTAATAAACACTTTGCGAGTTTAAACGTGTAAAGTATAGGCTCCTTCTCTTTGTAAAGTACAGAGACGGAATTATTAAAAATTTCGTAAATGACAGTCCAAGATGGGTCTTTCGACAGATAGCGTCCCTGAAAGATTCGGTCGACTGGCCCATCTCGTGGGTCCGGTTTAGTGAGTCGATATTGCGAGTCAAGGTCGTACATTTGTTTGTAAAAAAGGAAAGCGAATGAAATAAAGAAGCGGGTTTTCGAAGCGCCAACAGTACGCGGGTAAATTGAACTGTTTCATCGAAACGAAAGCCGATTGCACGTGCTTGTATCCACCTCTTTAGCCTGGAGCAGCTGGAGATAGGTGAGAGTTTGTTACAACGCATTACATCACTGACGAATCACGACGCCATCGATTACGTACAATCCTCGAATCCTTTCATCGCTCTCTGTTTCTACGAAACTTAAGGAGCACAGAATTCTGCTCTCCTTGATTTTTAAAATCATCCTTGCGGTTCATGTAAAGCAAGTCACGATGACTGTACTTGAGCAGTATAAAGAAAAGCATAAGATGTAGAATCTTTCAACGAGAAAACATCCGATTAGTCACTACGCAAATATGCGCCGTAAAGTTATACTACGAGCACTTTTACCAGCCAATGCCCCTTACGTTCCAACTAGGAAGAACGTCCAGACTAATCCGAATTATTATTCCGACATGTTTACAATGCACGACGCAGTAAAAATCTCGTCCTCCTTTAACGAATAATTCCAAAGACTCGCATCAATTACCAATTATTTCTAGTCAAATGTAAATTATAATGTGAACTGTCGTTGACAAACAAAAAATTGTAAAATAGTTACATATTCATGAACTCCGCGTATCAGGACTTTTTTTTCGTCAACAAGAAACTACTGCGTTTGGCAAAAAGCCTTAATCTTTTTAATGCGCGTCAATTCTAAAAGTAAACAGAATAAATGATTCGGTTTTCATCTGAATTTCCAGACATGGAAAACGCTAGTAGTCCGCCGCAGGCAGCGTCCTTGGAACTGAAAACTCGAAGAGCACAGCTGCAGACGCAGGTCTCGAGTTTGGATTCCAAACGAAGGCAAGCAGTGTACGTGAGGAGAGCTTTTAAAAAGTATGGCCCGAAGAGCAACCCCAACATCATTCTAGATGGACTGAACATGACAGTGCCGAAAGGCACGATGTAAGTTTCATTTTTCTACTGCTTGTTTTCGTTTCCAAATTTACAAGTTTTCGAATTTTCAGATACGGTCTGCTCGGCGCGAGCGGTTGCGGGAAGACCACTTTGCTGTCCTGCATAGTGGGTCGAAGACGTCTAAACTCTGGAGAGATATGGGTGCTGGGTGGCAAGCCAGGATCGAAAGGATCTGGGGTACCAGGTCCGCGAGTAGGTTACATGCCACAAGAAATCGCGTTGTACGGAGAATTCTCCATAAGAGAGACTTTCATTTATTTTGGCTGGTGTGCTGGAATGTCGACGCCCGAAGTGGATGAAAAAGTGGAGTTTCTTGTAAAGGTATATCGAAGTAGAAGTCCAGGTTGATCCGTAGAATTCCCTTCCTAGAATATAGAAGAGTAAACTTATAAAAACCAAGTTAGAATTATTCATCGCTAAATACTTCATAATTTTAGTAAAGTTATGGGACCTTCCCCGAAATAGTTCTTGCAGTTGCCATCCGAGAACCGTCTCGTGAAGAACTTGTCCGGAGGTCAACAGAGAAGAGTGTCTTTCGCAGCAGCCCTTGTCGCGGATCCAGAATTGTTAATCTTGGATGAACCCACTGTAGGTGTAGACCCGGTTCTACGACAGAACATCTGGGATCACCTGGTGCACATGACGAAGGACAGCAATAAGACTATCATCATCACCACTCATTACATCGAGGAAACGAGACAAGCTGGTATCATCGGTTTGATGAGAGGCGGTAAACTGTTGGCTGAAGAGTCACCGACGAAGTTAATGGAGATGAACAATGTGGACTCTCTGGAGGATGTGTTCTTGAAGCTCAGTAGACGACAGAACATGGGTCTTCGAAGGAGAAGTAGCATCCTCAGCAGCGTCACCGGCGTTCCTCCGGAAGTTGTATGATATTTACCATATTTTTCATACTTTTGAAAATGATGAAACTGTGATACAAATATGATTGATCATTACCCAGGATGTGGACGAGGAGATGAGCGGTGAATTTGGTGATAACGTCAGTCTTTCTAGTCGAAGAAAAAGCATTGTCGTCGAAGAAACACTTGTGAGTCTTTCTTTTCGGTTAGTCTTTCTGTTGGGTGAATTTTTATGCAAGTGTTTTGATGAACAGGTGCCAGAGCTGCCACCAGAAGAGAAAGGTCCCTCTAAATTCCAGATGCTTAATGGTCAACATATGAAAGCTCTTATATGGAAGAACTTCCTGTGGATGTGGCGAAATGTAGGGTAAGTGCAAATCGTATCGAAACTCGGCTGTACTCATGAACTGCTCGTTCTTTCCAGAATGATGTTATTTATCATCGGTCTTCCAGTCGCTGAGATTATTCTGTTCTGCCTCTCCATTGGCAAAGATCCAATGAACTTAAAGATAGCGATAGTGAACCACGAATTGAATAACAGCATGGGGCCTTGTATACCGACAACCGGCTGCGACTGGCATCGATTAAGCTGTCGATATTTAAAACATCTAGAGGAAACATCCGTAGAGTTTATAACGTACGACAATGAAATGGATGCTAAACACGCCGTCGAAGATGGCACTGCTTGGGGTGCCATAACGTTCCCGTCAAACTATTCTAATTCTCTTTATGCGAGATTTGATCTGGGTCGTGAGACAGATATCTGGGATATCGCAGAATCGACCATGACGATTGTCATGGATATGTCCAGTGAGTTTATTGAAACATTTAACGTGTAAGTGATCCATGGTAAAAGACAACATTTTGTTTTTCTTTAGATCAGCAAATCGGTCAACTTCTGAAGAGGGATTTTTACAAGTCGTATGAAAAGTTTGCTGAAGAAGTGACGGTAGCTTGCAATTACAGCAGGAAGTATACTCACATACCTGTAAACGTAAGTACACGAAATTGTAATGTACAATTATAATTAATAAAATTATATTCGTAAATCGTAATTCATAAATATATTAATTCCCAAAATGTTGAAGTAACATATTTTGCTATGTACAGTTTGAAACGCCGATCTATGGTCCTTTGGAGCCCAATTTCACAGACTTTGCAGCACCTGGAGTTATCTTAACGTGAGTAGTTGATCTCGGACCAAAAATGTAACTTGTATAATAAAAATCATTCCCGTTACAGGATACTTTTCTTCTTATCAGTCGCTCTAACTTCTGGTGCCATGTTATTAGAAAGAAACGAGGGTCTTCTGGAAAGGAGTTTAGTTTCCGGTAATTAACGAGTATCGTTTAAGAAGAAATGATCAGGACATTAATATAGTGATTCATGTTCTGTTGGCAGGTCTTACTGGACCAGAAATCCTTTTCGCTCAAGTAGTTACTCAATTCGTAGTGATGACTGGACAGGCAGTCATGGTTCTACTATTCGCGTTCGCGATCTTTAACATTACGTGTGAAGGTAACATTGGTTGGATTGCCGTGTTGTCTGTTTTAACTGGACTGTGTGGAATGTGTTTCGGTAAGAGCAACATTCACTTTAGCTGTCTTTCCTACTGAAGAAAGTTATTCTGAAACATGAATATTTTTAGGGTTCACTATTGCTTGCGCCTGCGATACTGAAAGAAGTGCTACTTACTTGGCAATGGGTTCATTCCTGCCCATTGTGATGCTCTGTGGAATAATCTGGCCTATTGAAGGGATGCATGAGGTTCTGAAGTGCATCAGTTATGTTCTACCCCTTACACAGAGCACAGAGTCAATGAGAGTTATGTTAGCTAGGGGATGGTCAATATCGAACTCCACTGTTTACAGTGGTTTCATTTCTACCTTCATCTGGATATGCATCTTCATGACTTCCTCGATACTGCTACTTAAATTTAAAAAGGGATAAAACTTCGTGTTCAGTTACAGACTTAAGCTACGTGGATAGTTGTCATTTGATCACAGTTCTATAGCGACATTTACTCTGTCGAATAAACAATTACGTCGGAACTGTTCGACGTATTACTGGAGAAAGAGTGAATAATACATCGTAAAAGATGTGGCCTATCTGCTCAATACAATTGTATTTATTACATCAATCTCTGTGGTAGCACAGAATCGTGATGATATTTGTACAGTGCAGACACAAGTAGATCATAAAATAAACCCATAGTTATAAAATCTTTGTACACCACGTGAATTATCGACTTAGAATAATCCATGACCTTCTTTTTCACTATATGTACTACTTTTTTTATTACTATTGTACTATAATTAGAATGGTAGAAATTTGTATAAATTTATGGTCTAACAAATATATGTATATACTAGAGTAGTAATAAACAATATTAGTAATTTGTATATGTAAATGGAAGAAAGGACAAGTAGGGTCAAGATACTTCAATAAATAGCAAGTTATAAACAAAAGTATAAAAAATTGTATTTATAATACAATGAGACATGTCTCATGAAACAGATCAAAACAGTCTTATTTGTAAACAAATAAATATCGTTTTTAATATATTATTTTACATAAATTATTTATATGCTGTTCATAATTATTATTTTGACTTTGAAGCACGTAAAAATGGTTCATGTAATACCTTGTGAATTCGTTCTGCCTTTTGTAAACCAATACCAGGACAAAGAGCTAACGTATTTGGTTGAGTTTTTATTAAGTTACTTAAAGTACCAAAAGTTGATAAGAGAGTTGTGGCATCTGTTTTATTAACTGACCTTATTGTTGTCAAAGCATTAACTATCTAAAAAATTGCAGAAAAAAACTTTCAGTCTTTCAATAATAAAAAGAGGTTTTATATTTCAAACAATGTATTATATACCTTCTGATATGGTGCTGTATCACTACGTTCCATAATTGCATCAGGTGGTTTGTTTTCATAAATCTTGTATGTTTCAATAATTTTACCAGCATCTTCTGCATTCCATGCTAACATCAGTGTCAAATCAGCAAGAATACAAACTCTTGTTAAATGTTTTAAAGCATGATGAGGATCTGCCACATCTACCTGTTTTTTTAATACAGTCCTGTTAATAATCATAACTCATAAAGAAACTACATTATTAATAAAAAAGAGCTAGAATCATATTAACACACAACAAAAATAATTTAATTAACCTGAACTAAAAGTACTCTAAGATTATACATGTTTCCTAAAGCCTTCAAACGTTCATGGATGTAGTCTGGATTAAGCTGATGATATCGTATTGATAGAAAAAGAGCGCAACTAGTTTTGCCCATTACATAGTCTGGTACAATTTCTGAGTACTCCCAAGGTACATTTGTTACATATTTCAGCAATGGATTTCCTTTCTACAAAAGAAATGATGCTTATAACAAACTAATGTCAAATAAATTATTTAAAACATAAATATTATTATGAACATACTTGCTTCAAGTTGACTAAAAGTGTATTAAACTTTGAAGAATTCTTAATTTTAGAAGGTCCAGGTATTTCTTCTTTAAAGAATTCAGAACTTAACTCATTGGGTATAGCTAAACATAAAATATTAATTTTTTAAACAATAAATATTAATGTAATTATATATTAGTATGTAACTAACATTGTGACAAATCAGTTTTTGGTTGTTTAGGTGGAGAAGCATTATCATCTTCTTCTTCCATTGTATTAACAATAATTTTATCTTATGACAGTCAAATTTTTGCAGTAATATTAGAACTTATTCTGTAATAAAATAAATTGTTATTAATTTTAATACACGTGCAGAATATTATTTTGATAATAAACAAATATTTTATTAGGTTAAGCTACTTATCACAAACAAAATACCTAAAGGAATACATACAACAGAGACAATCTACACATGCACATATATTTTTGTGTAAAATATTTGTGATTTTTTCTTATATTTTATCTAATTCTTATATCACATATCTAATCGAAAGTAATAAAAGTTATATTATCAGTAAATTATATTGCAATGAAAGTGATACTTTATATACTTATATTGGTAACACTGACAATTGACAACATCTGATCAGATGACACATTAACCAATATTTTCGCGAAGGAAAATGTTGTTCAGAATCATCGTAGCTACAACCTCTTTGCGACTCTTACATTAGTTCTAGGACACTCTATATATTTTTGACAGTATGTTGTAGATAAAATGGGATAAATATTCAGGTGTAGTTTGCAGATTACACAAATCAATGATAGCAAATCTTTGTAAATGTAATTAAAAATTAATATACTCTCAAATCATAACCTAATATTTTGTGATGAACATGCAAAAGTTTGATGCAAAAACTGTGAAGGATATTGGCATAGCAGATCCACGAACGCGGTTGAAGTCTCTTTCTGATTATGCTTCCACTGTTGAAATAGACCGTAACATTCCACCACAAAGGTATTAATTTTTCAAATCTGCATTATACAAATTCTTGTTATTATGTTTCATATTTGATGTATTAATTGATATTTTTAATACTGTAAATTTCTTTTATTCACAGGTATTATCGTTCTGGTGTAGAGATGATTAGAATGGCAGACATGTACATGAAAGACAATGGTCTTGAATATGCATACATTTTGTATGTTAAATTCATAACGTAAGATATAACTTTTCTAATTTTTCAAATTGATACTAATATGAAGTGAATTAGAAAACTATTTATTTCACTGATTTATTGTAACAGAATTTTTGTTGAAAAAATAAGAACCCATCCACAATATCATACGGTATCAATAAAAGATAAGGAACAGAATCAACAGACCTTACGTAAAGTAATGTCTAAAGCTGAAGAACTGAAAAAACAATTATTAGAGCAATACCAAGCAGAAACAAATAAATATTTGGCAGATGTCAAGGAAAGGGAAAGGATTGAAAAAGAAAGATTGAAACGAGAGGAGCTAGAAAAGTATTTTATAACATTTTAAAAATTAACATATGATATTTACTTAATATTAATTATTTATTAATTAATTGTTTGTTAAGGTTGAAAGAAGAGGAAGAAAGAAGGAACAAAGAAGCTGCCTTGGCAGCTGTTAAGGCAGCAAAAGCTGCTGCGAATACAATTGTACCAAGCCCTGAAGAAAGTAAGACTAAAAGAGTTCCTAGCATATTACCAAAATCATTGTCTGATGAATCTGCAGATATATCCCAGCGAAAGTTAGTATAGGCAAATGTTTAGTTTACATAAAATTTTATAAAAATCATTAAATTATAAAATTGTATTTTACAGGAAAATGCCTGCTATAGATCGCTCGACAAAGCCCTCTATGCTAATGAGCGACACTTTTACATTACGAGACGTAGTATTACCAACGAAATTAACGCACAATTTTCTGTTATTGGCTTTCACTAATACTGCAAATAATAAGGAAACCTGCGGTATTTTAGCAGGAAAATTAGAACGAAATAAATTAGTAGTTACGCATTTATTAATCCCTGAACAAACTGGATCTCCAGATTCCTGTCTAACGCATAACGAAGAAGATATATTCGATTACCAGGATCAACATAACTTGATAACTCTTGGCTGGATACACGTATGTATTACTTAAAATATGTACAAATTAAGAGAATTCGCCAATAGAAGAGATAATTTTACTTCACAGACACATCCAACACAGACTGCATTTCTGTCTAGTGTTGATCTTCATACACACTGTGCATATCAGCTTATGATGGCTGAAGCAATAGCCATTGTTTGCGCCCCTAAATACTTTGAGTGAGTACTAAATATTTTAGGTAATAAACATATTTTTCTATTTAAAATATTAATCGACATTCCTTTCATTATTTTAGGACAGGACTTTTTATTTTAACTCCAGACTATGGATTAGATTATATTGCTAATTGTAGAGAAACAGGATTTCATCCTCATCCGACTGAGCCACCGTTGTACACGGTAATAATTATCTGCAGAGACATTATACATATGTACATTATTCAATATATACATTAAGATATATTTTTCTTTTAGGATGCAAAACATTGCAAATTAGATGTAACAGCAGCCTTAGAAGTAGTGGATTTAAGAAGAAAATGACATCTTTTAGACATGTGCATATATATGTATATACATACATATGTGTACTTTGTAAAGCAAATTGTACATACAAATGTGCAATACGAAAAATTGATCGAAAAGAGTAAAAAAGATTACAAATACTTTTGCTTGAATATCACGAAAATGCAAGAGAGTAAATGTAATTTAACATTTCCAAAATTTCCAATATTTTTGGAGCAAAGCATTTAAAGAAGCATTTCTAACTAGATTTGTGTATTTAAAATTGTATCAAGATGATAATTTCATATAGAAAGAAATTTGTTAACCGTAAAAAAGCAATGCAATATCTAAATGTTTCTGGCAAATATGATAAATTATAGTAATGAAAAAAAAACTTTTTACGTAATTTAAAGAATGTTACTTAACTGATTAATTGAAAAGAGGATCATGAAATAATAGTATTAATGTTTTGTTGATAAACATAAATTATTTATAAGGAATTAGATACATCTAAGATGCGTATATCTAAATATTGTTAATTTTTCGCAATTTTTAAATTAATTTATTATTGATTTCGTTAATACGCTACATTGCAAGGTAGAAAATAAATATACAAATTCAATCAAAAATTTGTATAAACGTGGTGGTATGTAAAATCTGTCTATACGTTTACGTGCCTTTCATGGGAAAAAATAATATGTAGTGTTCATAATGTCATGCAGATTACATGGAGTATGTTCAGTCAACGATTGTAGATACTACACAATATTCTCAAATAACCTTAACTATGGTCAACTCGTTCAATAAGATCGTTTCATTACATAAGATCGTAATTGAAAAATCAATAAACGCAATGACAGACTATGCTAGTCATAACTTAATATACAAAGCTTGTTATGAAGTTTATTCGTATACCAGAATTGATGAATCAACTTATGTGATGCTTATAGTATCTTCCATTGGGTAACTAGAATATTTACATAGAGTGGGCCAGATCCCTTGATCAGGTTGTCTCCGGAAATTGGAGTATTTGAGGGTTTGTAAAATTCGAAATTATAGAATTTAAACATTGAGAACTGAAGATCTAGAAATTTGGGAATTTTCATATCCTACATCCGTTTTGGTGGGATGAGGAAGAGAGATTCAGTTCATACTTTTCAAGGTTCAGGCCCACCTTGGTCCCAGTCTAGTTACGCTAATGGTATCTTCTTTGTATTGTAATGCTGTACTTTCAAACTGTACAGTACAATTAGACGCTAATCTGTGTTAATACCAATGTAAGAGGTTTTTATTAGTAGGTACCTGATGCAGCTTTTGTAGGCTTACAAATTCAGTTAAGCGCGTTTATGTATAAAATCATATTAACCCTAAATGTGCAATATTTTGTATGCATAATCTTAAAATCTCAATAGTAACTTTCTACGATTTAATATGTAACTATGAGCTTTTGTTGTAATTAAAAATATTCGAAACACTAAATGTGCTAAAAATAATTTATTGCAGTATTGGCGGATTTAAAATCGATATGCTATAATTATTAAATAAACAAACACGAAAGATTTATATATTTCGTAAAAGAATAAATAAATCATCGAATAATTTATTATAAAAATTCTTTTGTTATTTATGCAATTTGCTTTTATTCCATTAGTCCGTTTGTGAAGGCATAATAAAATGAAATCAGTCGTAAAGAAGAAAAAAGGAAGAAACTATTCAAGTCCAGGATATGGAATTCAAAAGAGAATCCATTGTAAGTACTATATGAGTACCCCGTGAGAATGCTTTACGCCATTCACCTCTCCTCGCGTGTATATCGAATTACCTTCGTTGAAGGGTTTCGCGCTTTGCAGGGTTTTATCGACGACAGGGTCAATCTATTTTTACGTGACGGTTTATGTGTTCTTCGTTTCAGCGCTCGCTGAGCAAGCATAGATTACGGTACGCGTAAGCATCCTCTTTCGACCCGATCCTTTCACAAGTATCGTTTCATGTTCTTTATTCTTTAATTCTCGTTTATTAACATTTTAGCGCATTTCAGAAAAAGATTCCTTAGGTTAGGGGTTCTCAAATTTCTGTTTTCGACAGTAGTCATTTTTCATGATTCCCTCGTTGTGCATCATTCCCAAAATTACCTAAAAAAAGTCTTTTCTATTATATCGAACACTGAACACCCGATACAAGTTTAACACTTGTCGCAATGTGAACATAGCAGTTATGCCGTGCTAAAAATGAAAGGTACAGTTCAAGGGGCATATTATCGGTTATAACCAATACGAAAAATATGAATTCGTCTCGAAAAGCGGATGAAGTCAACAACATCGGTTTTTTCCTTGTACTGCTGTTTGTATTGGTCTCACGTTTAGAATGAGGAAAGAAAAGATCTCACGGATCAATTAGTCTACGATGTGTTTTATTTACGGCACTTACTGTTAGAGCAGAAGAATTCATCTTGAACTGTTCAACAGATTTTTCGTGTACTTGTTTGTCAATTTAATATGAGGTGATAATTGATTGCGAAAATATGTAGTACAATATACTGAAGCATCCAACATGTATCACTTAAAAATCGTGATATTCGATCTTAAAAAATCTGCTATCTATCAGGGTTTAATCAGTGCGTGGAGAAAGTAAACGAAGCGCGAACGTGAACAGATACATATTAACCTCCTACCTTTTAAATATATTCGATGACGTATTAAAAGTCACAAGGTAACATGTCTCTGACGTATACGAGTCCTCTTGTTACTTTAATCTCGTTGTTACCTGTTTTTGCTATCCGATATTGATCAGGTACAAGCCAGCCGGTGAGAATTTAAGCGTACGTGATTTTATTCCAAGAATGTAGTCAAGCAATATGCTTCGGAACGAATAAGGATTAACGTGTGATTATCTTGGTAGCCGCGCGTTCATTAAAGGTCCAGGAATTATGTAATGAACAGCCGTGTTAATTGAACAGTAACAGAAAACCCGCACTTGATGATGAACAGTAATTTCAGACGTGTATGCCGTTTTCAATACCTGCAAAATTTAAAATATAGTAGAATTGGTATTCAACGATACAAGAGGTAATTGTTAATAAGCGTCTCAACGACTTGCGATTAAATCTGTAAGGTGCATATCGATAATTTTATCAAATAACCATTTCCTGCAAATTACACGATAATTTAAACTGTCAATATGAATACTACCAGGAAGCGAAAAAGTTGAAGAAACAGCGATGATTCTAACATTCATGTTTTCCTAATATTTCAAACAATGAATACCTTGTTCTTTCTTCAGTCGATGAATAAGATTCAAACCAGGTGCTCTCGACAAAATAAATTTCTATATTCCTTATTTCACTCTCTTGACAACTGTTGGTACAGTTAACACATTTTAAAAATAGTTAAAAAAATATTATTCAATGTGAGACAAATTCGTATTTTCCAGAGCCTGATGCTAATCCAAGCGATAAACTTTGATAGTTCGAAGTTCTAAGTAATTGTTAAACGTCTTTATCTACAAGATATAACACCTAAACAAATACGGTAAGTTACTACCAATTACATATGTACATTAAAAACTGGTTCACATTGTTTCCTGTTGCCTTTACAAATGCCGCGCGCTGTTTTAGCTCTCTCTTCGTCGCTTCTTGCTATATACCTTTTTAACGCGCGTGGAACATTTAGTCCGCTGTTGCTCTCAAGGGAAGAAACAACTGCCGGTCCGTTCGTTCCTACGTTTTAGACATTTGCGTGTTACACAGCACCAAATAACACGTGTATCAAACTACAAAAGTTATTAAATAGTTAATCTGTCAATTGTTCCTCTGTTATTAAAAAGCGATATACACCTCAAACATCGTTGCATAAATATTTCAACAGTGGCTATAAGGTAACGATACCTGAAAAGTGTAACTTCCAGTGACGCGTTAAATAGAATTCATAATCGTCTGTGAAATATAAATTTCTTCAAAAGTGAATATTCTCGTTGCATATCGACGCGGTAACGATTGTGTAACTTCTCGATCGGGAACAGTGTTTATTTCTCAAAACTCATGCGTCAAGTACATGCAAGAGTTTATTGGGTTTTCTTAATCGTTTTCCTAAACTGCGCATAAACGCAGTTGAAATTTGAAAAGTGAACGGCAATAAAACGGTTTGTGTACGAATATTTTCTCTTGTCCTGGAAAGAATAAGGAGTAATGCAATTGATCGTGGGATGCTGTAATTGCATGGAATATCGGTGCAATCGTGGTCAAACGGTGACTTCGCATGTGACACATCGTACAACGGTTGTTCCTCAACTTTTAACACCTGTTTCTGTTTCCCGGTATCTCTGCTGAATGCATAGCGATTCTTCATCGAAACGGTTACAAATAGGGAAAAAGTGGAACATTCTACATACTTTCACGCTCTACGAAGGTATGCACTTTTAGAGCGTGTATTATACATCGAGAAATAGGTTAATCCTGCGTACTACATCGATCAAGATCCTCCGAGAATTTTCATTGAAATCGACGAAACAACTGTAACTACAAAATGTAAATGTTTTTAACGTAATTGCAGGAGAAATACGTTGAAACATTTTTACCTGTTTTGTTAGCCATATCATTAAACAAGCATGATAAAAAGTAGCGTGGTAATTAAATATCGTCATCAGATAATTCCGTATGCAATTATGGTAATTGTTACTACCAGTAAGAACTATTATCGTTGGCACAACCAGGATTTTTGTCCGACATGGCTCAGGTCTCCTAGCGAAACTAATGGTATTAACGTATCAGTTCGAGCATAATGAAGTGGCTTTTCAAAATTTGAAAATTAAATCATTTTTAAATTTAGGATATAAAACGCTAATTTTTGACGTAACTCAACCCCGACTTAACGTAACTTAACCTAGACATATTTTTTTAATATATTCATTTTTAGATATTCAAGGCTCATAGTTAAAACTTATCATTAAAAATAATTCGAATCATTATTTAAACGTTTCTTGTGTGTCATGTTCCTGCGGTAAGAAACGCGCATAGTAATTAGTAATTACATAAATTTCTCACTGTTTTACGAAGTTCCGAAAGAATGTATGGCGTGCATCAATGGTACGCGAATTTCCTCAATAAATAATTGTTTCTTAACTGGAAACCGTTGAATCTTCGGGAAAAAACTCAACCGGTATTTCTTCTAAGTCTCAGTAACTGTATTTATAGAAACTGAATATTTGTAGATTTTTTATAAAATTTCCGTGACAACCGATGCCAGAAAATGTTTAAAAAATTGTTTTTCCTGTACGTTCAGTTTGGAATATACAATTCCGGAAACTTTTATTCTAAGTAAACACCAATTTCTTTGACGCGTAGATGGTAGCCATTTTAGTTGCGAAAATAAAAAACTTCGATAATGTATTCGAATAACTCGATCGATACAATAATTTGTCGATAGGTTGAAGGTTCGATTTATAGAATGGAACTATGCTTTGTATTTCATTTTCGCGGAATTTTTATTGCGCACATTTTGTTTAAAAAATTACGGACTATTGTAATCAATATTAATAACACGTTTACTGATTTTAAATAATTTATTCTTCGATCCGAAGAACTTGGTCGCTGAATGTGCTGAAATAGTATGACACAATCGGCAGTGTATTTATCATTTGCCTAGTTTATCTAAGATAACCGATAAAAGTAATAAATGGTGGGGAAGTTTTAAAATTGATGATTATAATCTTGATTGCAGGATTGATAATTCGCTGCGCGAACTGATAATAATTGAGACAAAGAAACGGGTGCAGAAGTGCTGTAAAGTTCAGTTTCGTGAAAAAAAGATAGGAAGAAGCAAAGAAAAATGTATCAGTGGCCACTGATCGTTGCATTAGTGGTTTCGATGTTTGGTAAGACGAAAGTTCATACTTATTATCGCAGATAAAATAAACGCGTACATAAACGTGATCAAACAGATAGAGTATCGTCGGATTTTTCAAAAAATAAACTGTTGATTTATCGAAAGGTACATAAAGTGAGTTTTGAAAGAATTATTTTTAAAATTACTTTCCTTGATACTTTATACTTTTATCCAAACTGTTTCTTTTCATCACAAGAATGATATTATAGCGTTGAAAGTTATTTATAAATTATTGACGTTGACAGTTGGCAGAGTATGTCCGGTAACGCAAAAAAGCGGACATGGCGACGAAGGAAACATTTCGACGCAAAATATTAGCAACGCGAATCACACTTCCAGTGTTTCAAATGCTAATAAAACGGTCGAAGCTTCGATCAAAACAGCGGAGGATAAAAAGGGTAAGATGGAATTTCTTAACGCTTTGACCCTTTGTGATCGCATCAACTCGGTTGGTACTCCCAAGTGCATAGAGGGTCAATATTCTTTGTGCGTACCTATCGATTTCAATGCCGGTATGAATTATTACCGTGGGAATGCACCGAACGTTTTACCATTCTTTAAAATATATAGAGAAGCAGAACAAAACCGAAAGCTCAGCACCGTTGGAAAGCTCGACGAACGTAACGTCGCCGCATGCACAGAAAACGATCGACGATGGGAAACACAATTGTAGTTCGACGAAGGAATCAACGGACATGACGAATTGTTATGTCACACCGCACGACAACGATGAAATTATTGAAAACGACGCAAGTACAACAGGTGTGCGTATAAAATATTTAACGAATCAAGGATATTTACAATAATCATTACATCGTATCTTTTATTTGTATAATTTTGAAGAGCCTACAAATACCGTAACTACCGCAACTAATAAGACTGAAACGAGCACGGAATCTCAAGTAACGAAAGCTCCTCCTCACGTGACCACTGAGGAAGAAGACAAGAAATCTGTGGAAATTTTCGTGCCGTTAAATAACACTGAAACTCCGAGGAAAATACCTTATAACGTAACCACGGAAACCGATCATTCCAATGGAAGTATCCATACCAATGAGTCAGGTAAAAGATACTCTTTAATTGTACAAAGGGAAGAAGTATCCGTTTTGAAATATTAGGGACATAAAGGTTTAGGAATTTAAAGGCGTAGTATCCTAGAAATATGATCATTTTAAAGTAATATATAAATGTTGTAAATTATAAAAGTTTCAGATGCAGTTGCAAAGAATGGTACCAATATCAATGAAACATCTGTTAGTTCAGTAGCACCTTTACTGGTAGATAATGTAACTGCAAATGTAGGAGCAGTTAAGTCAACTGATCAGAATAATAAAAGTATGCCTTCAGGAATGATAGCGCTAGTTACCGCCATAAGTTTCGCTGTCGCTATTGCAATTGTATATATTGGCATGATTATCTGGAGACGATATATTGAGTGAGTTGAAAATTCAATGTCACATTCATTACTGCAGACAGTTATCTTAATAAATATTTCATCTTATGTAGATATAGATACGGGCATCGGGAATTACTTGTGAACGAACTAGAATTTGACACTAATGATTTACGTCATTTTGAGGTAAGCGTGTTGGAAATTATATAGTTACTGAATTATAAAATGTCATCTAAGTCTACTTTTATATTGTTATAGCTGTGATTCCAAAGCAGTCATAATCCACAAAGGATAAAGAAACGCCTAAATGATTCGTAACCGGTCAAGGTGGATATAATCCATAACTATTAAAGATTCATTGATCTGTGATACTAAGGACATGCATTGCGCCTGACAGTCAACAAACCAAATCTATTTGGATAATGTTATACATTTCTTGTAATGTAATTGTTTTATATACATTATGTATACAACTCAGTCTTTTCAAGGAATCGGTCGTTTTCCCTCCTCCTGTAGAAACTCACATAGCATTGTTATTTATATTTTTTCATAATAATTATAATGCGCAGATCGTTGAATATATTAAGTAATTTATAAGGATCGATTGAACATTTCAGATAGCAGTATGGGTGCTAGAAGAATGTTACAGAATTCATATTTCTTATCGTTTTGTAGTATTCAGAATTGTTGAAAACATGTATGATAATGTTTGTTTTTCATTTTCTTTGTGTTTGTTTTGTATTACATGTAAACAATATGTAAATATCACTAGTTAAAAATAAATTTATGGATTATTTTTATAATCAAATTGTTTTTATTTTAGAATTTAAATAAGTCTAATTAAAACAAAGTAATAATATACATTTTTTCAATGAATTATATTAATTATTCGTAAAAATGATGCATATAAAAAGTAATATCAATTATATACATTTTGTGTATCACAACTTACATGGTTATTGACGAAAATTATTTTCGCAACGATGTATTTATTCATAACTTTGTTAAAGCACATTCTAAAAAATAGTAACAAGTATGTATTTTGTATCCTGCGTTATATATTATGCTCTTTTTGGTTTCCAACATTTATCTACATTAATATTTTTTGTATACTTTTCTTTTCTATGAAATATCTACAATGTTGGTTGCAGAAATATTTTTTCTTGGTTATTAACAACATTGTACATGCCAAGTATTTATACAATGATAGTTTTATTAATCTTTCTTTTTAGTAACTACAAGGGGTCCCACATTATCATTTGTTGCTTCATTATGAGGTCCATGAGAACCATCACAGTATGGCCACTGAAAGAAAACAAATTTTTGTCAATGATTAATTTGTTAATTAATTATTCTTTCTATGGTACATAAATACATCAAGCATTCACAGGACCAAATGATTGCATAACATGTATCTTGTGAACTTATTCTTGGATATAGTTAATGTAGGTCAGTTTTAAGTTCATTCTAAGATCTTAATGTTAGATATGTCATAAACAAGAAATTATTAAACTTACATTCTTAGATTTCCAACAACGGCAAAATACAGCCTTCTCAGTTATATCTTCTACATCAACAGAGTCTACCACCTTATTTACATCTTTTTTTATCATATGATTTACACGTCCAGTTGCCTGAAAATATAATTTGCATATGCATTTATTACATATTTTGATAATATATTAATGCATTCCAAAGTGATAGTTATTCTACTTCAAAAGGAATGTTCATCCAATAAAAAGCTAAATCAACAACATTATGTAATCAACAGAGAAAAAAATTAAAATCTATCGTAATACAGTATCTTAATGGCCTTGATGATTTTGTAACAGGTATGTATTTACTTACTTCTCTAGCTAATGGACAAAATGCTTTGTAAGACATATAACCGATTCCAGCTAACATAGCGGTAGGAGGAATTAGGGCGATCCAGTCTCGTACTAAACGAAAATATAAAATTATCACAATCTTGTATCATTCATAATTTTCCTCATTAGAGAAAGCGGCACTGTATCAATTTGCAGTGTCATGTTTCAAACATTCTTGTAAATTACTTAATATAATAGTCTTAACTTATTATACATATAAAAAGTAAAGTATTTAATCTCTTACTTCCAAGTCGAAACCATCCTCCTATAGAATCTGGAACAGGTAATCCAGACAAATAATTGGGAATGGACACTTTAACGAGGTGTGCGACCGGCTCCATGTTCGCTGTTACTACTACTGTAGTCAAGTAAGGAATCCGAAGCGTTTCGAACGAAAACCACCTTGATCTTTACACACATTTCGAAGATCAATTATTTTTTACAAATCATGAAAGAAAATTTGAAAGTCATATATATCCGTATGTGTATTTACACAGTTATATTTCAAATAAGAGATAGCACAAAGCGTTATTACAAATTATTGTTAGTTTTTATTATTTTTTAGAAAATAATTATAATTTTAAACAAGAAATTATCTATTATATGTTATTCAACTCCAAGGTACATTAGCACAATATTACTTCTCGTTTATGCAGTACATTAATATCGCCAATCAATTTCTAATTTTTTACGTTAAAAAAATGTGCAGAGCTAGCAATAGAATTTGCAAGGCCCAAGGCCAGGATCTCGCGTACACCAGATTTTTATGTCATCGAACACAGCAACGAATTAACCAAAGTTTTCTCAAAAGCATTCAAAAATTTGAAATTCCTAAAACTACTAGATTGAAAAATTAGATACTTGAACCGTAAGATTTTCTAAATGCGAGGTCTGGGACAGGTACCCTGTTTATCCAGTTCTAATGGCGGCACTGAACTATGCAATACGTATAACACATTCTAAACATCACATACAAATATTCAAGATGCAAATATTTTTCATTTATCACAGAAATATTATTACATATTTTTTGTCCTGCAAATATTATTAGCTGAATAATTTGCTAGGCATTTTTTAATTTGCACATTTTCAATCGCATTGTTGCCGGCAGATTTTGACTAGCGTAGTTAGAGAGGTGAAGGACCGGTGGGGTTCTAGGGACGTCTTGTAAGTGGCGCCATCCAGTCGCGAGGCGTTCGCCGGGCAGGGTGGAGGTGGCTGCGTCGTCCGCAAGGATACGTCGTCGGTTACCGCGACGCCGCGGCGGTTCGCGCAGGCACAGGTACGAAGTGCGCGCGTTTTCGAGGCGGTATCGCGAAAAGCGCAGGAGTGGCATTTTCCACGTACCGTTCAGATATCTCGGCTACACACCGTGTAGTTGACGTGCAGTGAATAAATCGGGAGGTTCGTGGCGTCGACGTGAAGCGAAAAAGAAGTAAAAACGGGGCGGGAAGGAAAGAGATAGAGCGGTTGTATCGCGCGGTGCAGTGCGAAAAGTGTTCGCGAAAGGGGCCCTTTGGTTGTGTGGGTGTGCGTGCGTGTGCCAGGCGAGCACGTAGAACGTTGACTAGTGACACACGGTGCTCAAAAAGACGAATAAACACGGGCCGCCGGATGATCGTCCTTGTGCAGGTCCCGTAAAGGTGCGTCAAATGACAGTGAGGTGATCAATGTGCTTGAAACATGGCTGAGGAGCTGGTGGTCACCCTGAACCGCGGCGACTCATCCGGATTTGGGTTCTCGTTGCTCGGTACAGCGGGTTTACCGCACGTCATCTACGACATCGTCGAGAATTCGCCGGCAGCGACTAGCGGCAAGGTGAGTACAGCTTCGATCGTTTTTCTTTTATACGTCACAAGTATCGCTTGGTACCAGAAGTTCGAGGACGGTCAAAGGTAGAGTTAGAAAGAGCAACCCTGAGATATATACATACACGTATATGTATGTTATCGTGGACGATACGTGTCCGCTGAGAATCCTGCGAATGCACGAGCCTCAAAATAACGCCCGGTGTATATCGACCCGTGTTATTATCGCGAGCACCCTCTGTCGCCCCCGTCTGTTTCTTGACCTCTGATTACTTTTTATTCTCACACTTTGCGAGCCGTGCCGTGGTGCTTCTTGTATGTATACACTCGTTTTAACGTTGAGACGGTACAGGGATGCTGATTGGCTGGGTGGGATCGGTTTAACGGCCACATTCCAGCCTGTCGGTCGATCCCTCTGTTCGCCTGCTCTCTCCTTTCCTTTTTCTCTGTCCTGTTTCCTGGGGAACGTACCCCTTCTCGACGATCATACGAGGTGGAAAATTTGAATCGTAGACTCGGGGGCTTTAGTACGTTCGCTCGATCAAAATCTTTCGTTTATTCGGTGAATTATTTTGCACGGTAGTGAGCGCGGTAGGCTTCCCTGGGAAGTGCGCGCGTTTTCGAGGCGGTATCGCGAAAAGCGCAGGAGTGGCATTTTCCACGTACCGTTCAGATATCTCGGCTACACACCGTGTAGTTGACGTGCAGTGAATAAATCGGGAGGTTCGTGGCGTCGACGTGAAGCGAAAAAGAAGTAAAAACGGGGCGGGAAGGAAAGAGATAGAGCGGTTGTATCGCGCGGTGCAGTGCGAAAAGTGTTCGCGAAAGGGGCCCTTTGGTTGTGTGGGTGTGCGTGCGTGTGCCAGGCGAGCACGTAGAACGTTGACTAGTGACACACGGTGCTCAAAAAGACGAATAAACACGGGCCGCCGGATGATCGTCCTTGTGCAGGTCCCGTAAAGGTGCGTCAAATGACAGTGAGGTGATCAATGTGCTTGAAACATGGCTGAGGAGCTGGTGGTCACCCTGAACCGCGGCGACTCATCCGGATTTGGGTTCTCGTTGCTCGGTACAGCGGGTTTACCGCACGTCATCTACGACATCGTCGAGAATTCGCCGGCAGCGACTAGCGGCAAGGTGAGTACAGCTTCGATCGTTTTTCTTTTATACGTCACAAGTATCGCTTGGTACCAGAAGTTCGAGGACGGTCAAAGGTAGAGTTAGAAAGAGCAACCCTGAGATATATACATACACGTATATGTATGTTATCGTGGACGATACGTGTCCGCTGAGAATCCTGCGAATGCACGAGCCTCAAAATAACGCCCGGTGTATATCGACCCGTGTTATTATCGCGAGCACCCTCTGTCGCCCCCGTCTGTTTCTTGACCTCTGATTACTTTTTATTCTCACACTTTGCGAGCCGTGCCGTGGTGCTTCTTGTATGTATACACTCGTTTTAACGTTGAGACGGTACAGGGATGCTGATTGGCTGGGTGGGATCGGTTTAACGGCCACATTCCAGCCTGTCGGTCGATCCCTCTGTTCGCCTGCTCTCTCCTTTCCTTTTTCTCTGTCCTGTTTCCTGGGGAACGTACCCCTTCTCGACGATCATACGAGGTGGAAAATTTGAATCGTAGACTCGGGGGCTTTAGTACGTTCGCTCGATCAAAATCTTTCGTTTATTCGGTGAATTATTTTGCACGGTAGTGAGCGCGGTAGGCTTCCCTGGAGAAAATGGCCGTGTAGGGGAAAGAGGCCCCTCCACTCGTCGGTTTTTAGTTGACAAATTTTCGAAGTTGTAAACTTAGTGCAACTTCAGAAATTTGAAGATTAAAATATTTCAAGTATACATATTTTCCCTAGTTTTTCTATGAAGGAAATTGCATCCTAGTGTGCATAGCTGCGTTACGCGCTTTATGGTTGTTTACGTGTTACCACCTGCTCATCTTGAGCTATGGCAATTTTACTATTTTTTTAAAGCTATAATTATAATCCTATACACATTCACCTTTGCATTTTGTATCGCGAACAGATTGATTTTTATTCTTTAAAACTACTTGTTTTAAGCAAGCGAATCGTAAAGCGACCAATTTTTTGCGCTACCTTGTAATCTTCCAAATTGAAACCTTTCTCCCTTCTATCGGCGGTTTTTAGTGCAGAATAGATCGATTGCTCTGTCGGAACTGGTTTTCGATTCTCCTCGTGAGAATGATGCGAATTTCAAATAGCGGATGCGGAATAGATTATTAACCGTCGTACGAACCAGTTTCTAACTGGCTGTGGGTCTTGATATGCTCGAAAAGAGAGAACCGTCGAGGAAGTGGCTTAAAGGTCATTTCAGAGTGTTACATCTCCGCTAATCATCCAACAATTTAAACGTTGATTGTAGTACCTAGATTAACCACGTTTTTAGATACGTACACATACGTTATTTATAGATTAGCTTCCTTTGGTTACATGGAGATTTCCTTACGTTTGGAACGTGCCAGAAACAAGCACAGTAGGTTCCTGTTATATGGCCTTGAATCGGGGTCGAGGGAGAGGGTTGCTGTTGAAACTTCGCAAATCCAAAAATTTTGAAGTTTATAAAGTTTAATAATGTGTAATCGTATTCGTTGACCCTAAACAAAACTATGCGAGGCTTTGAAATTGATACGATCTCCATGGATCTCTATGCGCCTACAATGATGCACTGTAATCAAAGCGAGTGTGTCAAAAAGTATTCGCCGCGCATGCGCACAACTTTTTGTGTCCTGCATAACTGTCATTCGCGAGAAGAATTCGTGTAACAAAGGAGCGGCCAGTCATTACGCGCGATTGGAATGTGTCACTGTGTGATCATCTCCTTTTCTCCTTTACTTTCTACATTTTCAAGGCTTTATCGCAGAAATTGATCGACGGAAATAATTAATAACAGTCGCTTTACTTCCGTCTAATATTTTTGTTATCTTCTCATTTGTCTTCGACGAAATAGGTTAGGTCATTTACTCGAGTTTCTTTCACGAACATAAACTTTTACCTTTATACCCGCAACTGTTCGAGAATATGCATTACATTGTAGGTTACACAGCACACAATATATTGCCACGGGTTTAACAAGATAAAGCTAGATCCGTGATCGCAGTTTTGCATAATTATCGCTAACATTCGCATGTAACTCGTTCGGTATTTTCTCCGCGCGTATATTCGAGATAAGTTATCGGTCGGTTCAATTTATTCTGTTAATCGGTTTGGGGCTACCAGCAAAAACGAAATTCAGTATACTGGTTATTTCCTTTTAATTAATATGGCAGTACCGTGGTTCTTGAAAGCAGGCTAGGTCACTGTATCGGTAGCCACTCAAGATTCATTGTTCGACCGGTACAAAGAACGCGTAATACATTTTGCATTGTTCCTAATGAGCCACGCGGAGGGAGATTGAATTTTGTGAATCGTTTTTTGTTTTCCACAGAATTGTAGCAGAAGTCAATTTCTGCTTTCCTTCATTACGTTTATCCTGCTCCTGATTCATTTGTTCGATTTGAAATTATTCGAACCTCGATCGCGACGGCCGATATTCGAT